CCTTCATTCTGTCGACTAACTACTTCTTTCTTTGTTGTAGTTATTCAATATGTCGACAGATAGAGGATGGATGTATAGAAAGAATGATGATCGAGGGGCTCTTAGCCGGACCTATGTCAGACACTTGGAAGGTTTTTTGGACATTGTCTATGCCAATGAAGAAGTTGTTGAAAGGGCAACTATACGTGATGGGATAGTGTTCCATATCAGATGTCATTGCTCCAAGTGTCGAAACGAAGCCTATAGAGAAAGAGAAGACATGAAACTGCACTTGATGAAATATGGTTTCATGCCTGATTATACCATTTGGTGGGGACATGGTGAAACCTTTTCTTTACATGCATCTCATCAAGACGTGGGTCAATCTTCTAATCCTATAGTGGATCATAATGAAGGTTATTTTCAAATGGTGAACGATCACATGGTACATGATGCCATGACATGGGAAGAGCAAACACCTAATCCTTCTGCCCAATGATTTTATAACATGTTACAAACTGTTGACGAGCCTTTATGGGATGGATGTAAAACTTTTTCAAAATTAGGGGCTGCAACGAGTTTGTTGCATTGGAAGGCAGAATGTAATGTACCCCAGACGACATATAATAGAGTGCTTCCTGTTTTTAAGCGTATGCTACCTGAGGGTGATAAATTACCCTGTAACTTCTATGAGACGAAGAAGAGTTTGAAAAATCTTGCTCTGCCAAAACAAAAGATCGATGCTTGCAAAAACAATTGCATGTTGTTTTACAAGCATGATTCTGGGTTGACCCACTGCCGAGTATGCAATGAAAGTCGTTACAAGACAAGTGGACGAAAGAAGGTCCCTAACTTGGTGTTGACATACTTACCTATTGTTTCAAGACTCCAACGATTGTATATGTCTCCAAAGACCGCGGAAGAGATGACTTGGCATTACGATCATCGCTCGAAACCGGGTGAAATGGTACATCCAAGTGATGGTGCGGCTTGGAAGCATTTTGACATGAGGGATCCTGACTTTGCTTCTGAGATCCGGAATGTTCGTCTTGGGTTATGCATCGACGGTTTCAACCCGAATAATTCAACTTCGAATCCGTATTCACTATGGCCCGTCTTTATTACCATCTACAATCTACCTCCTTGGATGGCTTTGAAAGATTCGTATGTTGAGCTTGCATTGGTCATCCCTGGTAGAAAGAGCCCCGGTCAGAATTTGGATGTGTTTCTCAGACCGCTAATAGATGATCTAAAATGTTGTATACGGAGGGTGTTCTTACGTATGATGCGTATCGTAAGAATAATTTCGAGATGAGGGCTATACTACTATGGACCGTCAACGACTTCCCGGCTTATGCAATGTTGTCGGGTTGGAGCACGCATGACAAGTTAGCCTGCCCATATTGCATGGGGGAGGTAGATTTCTTCCAGTTAAAAAATGGAGGTAAATCATGTTGGTTTGATTGTCATCGGAGATGGTTACCTAGAACACACCCTTTCCATCGTGATCGAAAAGGATTTATGGCAGGTAATAGGGTGTTAACTAATCCACCACCTGAGTTAACCGGTGAAGAGATCTGGGAGTTCGTTCGTCACCTTCCACTGTTTATGAGGGTATCCCATATAGTTCAAAAAATAGAAAAATTAACGGGTTCGGAACCAATCATAATTGGGTAAAGAGAAGCATTTTTTGGGAGTTGCCATATTGGAAGACGTTGTTGATCCGACACAACCTTGATGTCATGCATATTGAGAAGAACGTTTTTGAGAATCTCTTTAACATCGTCATGGATACGTCAAAAACTAAAGACAATGTAAAGGCGAGAAGAGATGTAGAGGTTCATTGCAATCGACAGGATTTGCACATTGCCATGTCAGGCAACAAAGTAGTGAAACCAAAGTCATCGTACAGTTTGAGCAAACAACAAGTAAAACAAGTGTGTGCATGGTTGAAGAAGTTGAAGTTTCCAGACGGGTATGCTTCGAACATAGGGAGTTGTGTGAACCTAGAAGATTCTAGCTTTTATAGCTTCAAGAGTCATGATTGTCATGTGTTTATGCAACGATTGCTTCCTATTGCTTTACGAGGGATGATACCAACTTCGGTATGGGATGCAATAACGGAGTTGTGCACATTCTTCCTTGTGATATGTTCAAGGGTGTTACACATAGATGACTTGGTTCCATTGCAAACAAGTATTGTTCAAACAATTTGCAAGTTGGAAAAGGTCTTTCCGCCCGGATTCTTTGATTCAATGGAACACCTCGTTATACATTTGACACGTGAAGCTATAAATGGTGGTCTGGTCCAATATAGGTGGATGTATTTGTATGAGAGATGAGTTCCTAATTTTATTGAAATCTAGTACAATATATTCATATAAAAAACTTTTCTTGTCCCTAACATGTATTTCATCTCTTTAGGAAGCTTGGGTCGTTAAAGAGAACGGTTCGAAACAAAACAAGGGTTGAGGGCTCTATCGTTGAGTCGTACCTTGTAAATGAACTTTCTACCTATTGCTCCYTCTATTTTGATCCAACAATAGAAACAAGACATAATCGTGAGTCAAGGAACTTTGCCCCGAATATCCCGAGTTGTTCGGAGACTGACGATTGATTAAGCATATTCAAAGTTCCATCTCGTCCACTATTCGCGAATGGTGGAAAACAGATAATCTTAAATGAACATGACCTGGAGATTATCCATAGATATGTCKTGTTCAACTGTGTAGAAGTTCAACCTTTCCAGWCCACCTTTGATGAAAAGATTCGACAAACTGAACCGAATATTGATGATGTTGAACTTGATAGAATTCGGGAGGAGAGGTTTGCTGACTGGTTCTCGCACCACGTGAGTATATATATATATATATACTGGTCATTGGTACTAATATACAGAAAGTAATGACGTACGTTATGTGTTTCCCTCACTGATACTCTGCATTTTTGTAGTGATACTAAACGTTGAGATCAGTTGTTTTCACTAATAAAGATTCAAATCCAACGAGAACTCATTGAGACGACGAGACCAATCAAAAACTCATCCATTGATTTAGTGTGTGTTTTGTGTGTAAAACCATAACCTACCATCATCATCTTCTATGGACACCATTAAGAATCATTCGATACTGATCAAGAACCCATCGACAGATTTAGTGTTTGTGTGTGTAAAATCATAATTCATTGCCTTCATCTTTCATCAAGACAAACCGAGACCAATTGGGGACCTTTCTGTACCAATTGATAACACATCAAGACAGAATAATAACCCTTCAAGACCAATCGAGAACCCAGTAAAAGAAACACTATAGTATGTATGATTGAAATTATAGTATATTCATGATGAATGATATGTATATGCATGATTAATATTATAGATAAAGTGTATACTCATGATTAATATCATTATGATATATAAATATTAGTGAGTTATTTTATACACGTGAACATACATGATATTCATGACGAATAATATTCATAAGGAATAATATTCATGATTATGCAAAGTTATTCATCATGAATAATACATGAAATTGTCGTTTTGCAGTTGTNCGAATAATATATATATATATATATATATATATATTCATAATGCATAATATGTATATCCATAATCAATACTCTAGTGAAAAAAGTATAATCCTAACATATATTATAGTAATGAATGAATATTAAATAGATGATGTATAGACGTGAATGTACATGAATATTACACAGGGGCAAGTTCAAATGAGAAACTAAACATTTTATGAAAAAGGTCGAGAAGTTTCAATATCATATATGATTACACAATCTTAATCGTATATGATTAAACACATGTTGCTTTGAAACACATAGACGCTTACAACACATAGACTCATAAACACAAGTTATAAAAAAAATATCATATATGATATTGAAACTTTTTGCCTTCTCGTAAAATGTTTAACTTCTCGCATGATCTTTCCTCTACACAGATAAACCATTTTGAATAAAAAATAGTTAAAACAGAAGGAAAAAACGGTATCAAGATGGATGTCAAATCGATAGAATAAAATGCTATTTTTTATGTAATTTGTTTGATTAAAATATTAATTATTTTTAAAATAATTTAGTTTAAAAACCAAGTAGATAAGAAAATTAATTGAAAAAAGAAAAATCAAATAGATAAGCGCCTTTCATAGATCAAATTTATTATATATTTCCATTTGATGTTGATTACTAAAGTACGATTGAGAGCGAAATTTCGTCTTAGTACACTGCATTTACAGCCTCTATTTGATCATTCTACAAGATAATTCGATTTCATCGTTTAAGGTTCTATTTCCAATTCCTTCCATGGTTCAATTTTCATTATATTTCTAATTTTGTAAAGTCCAACTTGATTATTGTTGGATCTGAATTCAATGTATTTATTTTTATACCATGACATGAATTTAATATGATTTTTAAGTATTCACTTAAAAGCAAAAACCAATAACATTTGATCATTCTAAACCACAATTGAACATGGAAACAAAAGCCTTCATCTCAGTCGCCGAAAGGCACACACCAATTTCCAGATCTTCATTCGAATCTTTACAGGCGTTCATAGAAATAGATCCATTATAATCTATGGAGATGATTTCATACTTTCTGGGCTTCCCCCATCCAAAATCGGTATCATAAAATCTGATCTTTGGTGTTCCAGCAACCCCCATTATCGTATCTGGCACCCCTCCAAACGAAAGTTCATACCAACTCTCAGCATCTTTCAAGATTCCATCTTTATCGGTCAGCTTCTCATGTAAACTCTCTCCAAGTAACCTAGCTGCCGTCACGAACCCATCTCTTTCAGATAATACAGTCGTTCTCGCCATCGCCCCACATGGTGCAACACAGTTGCCGAAATAGGTTGCAGGGATCGCCGGAACCAGACGTGACCTACAATCGATCACGAAACCAAACACTTGTAGCTCGTCGCCGCGTATTTTTGCCATACAACTCCAGATATACGCACATGCTACAGTAAAAGATGATACGTATTGCAACGATGGCAGTTGGTTCGACACCCGTTTCTTTAACCGGTTGATGGTTGGTCGGGTCAACACGAATGTGGCTCGAACATTGTTTGTTGGTCCAGAAAGGCTTGCAGGCTGATACTCTTGAGTAAAAGTTCCAATATTTGCTTGCTTTAGATATATTTCATCTAACGTTGGCTGTTTGATCACTCTATCATACAACGGCAAAGCTCCACTACCCAGAAATGACTCATCTGTGCCAGATCTTGCAATGGAAGTCCACGCCTTTAGGAAACAAGACCGAGTGCTCGCATCTCCAAGGCAGTGGTGATTCGTCATTCCGATAGAGATGCCACAGCCTGGAAAAACCGTTACTTGAACCGAGAACACCGTGATCGATACATAATCCGCGGATGCTTGTGCAGCATGTCCAAGAACAGGTATAAGAGGATAAAAACTACCACAGTCTCGAGCATGGTTTCCAGTTAGATCATGGAAATCAAGATTGCTCTCTGCGAAAGTAACGGCAACAGAGTCGCCATCGACGTGACGAATTTCGGGTTTTCGAGTAGGAAATATGATCAAGTTACCAACAAACGGGAAAAAATGCTGAAGAGTGATTGATAACGACCTTTTGAGAGTGGGAACAATGGTTTCAATAAACTGAGGTTTAGTGATTGCGAGTTCATAGAAGAAAAGATGGTGAACAGGAGGTTGGGACAGCCATCCAATGTCGAAGAAAGTCAGCGGCAGCGATCGGTGGCCTACGGTGGCTGGTGGTGGCGATACTTGGGACTGTTCTAGCACAGTGAAGATGGGAAGGGAAGCCATGTAAAGTCAGTCAGGTCGATGGATCAATAATGTTCATAGAATGAGTGGTGTTATAAATAAAGGCATAAATGATTCCTTGACAAACCCCACCTTGAAATGATTTCTTCAATTAGATAATAATAGGATATCTCATGTCATTTGTTTTTTTTTTATTAAGTTGGATATCCAGCTCGTTATGTGAGCGGACTAATTCCAGGACGATCATCTGATTTGCAGGTAGCTCGGAGTTACCGTATTTGAATTTACTTGACTACAAGAGGATTTTTATTCTTCCTTGGATTTGAACCTGAGACCACCAGGTACTTTTGATATTTGGAGTTAAGCTCAAACCAATTAGGCACCACCCTTATGGTTAGTTTGTGTTAACATACAGATGTTTTTTTAAAACATTTGCACCAATTGACTATCGTAATATAAAATAAAGAAATATACTTTTATCATGTACGTAGATGATTAATGTTAAAATACGTTATTTTTTATTTGTGTTTAACATTAAAAATATATAATTAATTTTAAAAATGTTAAATTTTGAACTCATTTTTACATTTAAAACTTTATAGTAAAACAATATGAATATAATATTCACAATACTTTTACTATGAATATTTGACTTTTTTTTTATCTTAAAATATAAAAATATTGTACCACGTATCTAAAAAAAATAAGCTTGTTTTGTTGAATAATATATAATTTAATATTTATTACGTAGCTTTAACAAGTGAGACAAGAGTAGGTTAGGTGTGTTGGCTTTTTAGGTCACGTGCGAATATTATAATTAACTTTAAATTATTGTATGTCATTTGTTAAAATTTGCAAATTTCATTTTTATGCTTTTAAAATTGCGGTTTTTAATTTGTAATTTATTATTATTTATTTTTGTTTTTAAGATTAATTTTTATTTTTAAATATGATAAATGAAAATAACAATAAATTGTAAATCATGATGATAAAAATAATAATAGATTATAAATTATAAAAATAAAAAATATATATAACTATAAAAATGAAAATCGTAATTTTAAAATCATATATATGAAATAATAATTATTAATAAATAAATGGGAAAAAACGTAATTTACTCCGAAATATACTTGGCAATGTTCGAAATCAAGATTTGGAAAATTTAGAACAGAAAATAACAAACAATTGTGACATGGAAATTGGTTGAGAGCAAATTAACATAATATAAAAATGATATTATTATTTAATTTTTAAAAAAAGAACAAAAATAAATTAAACAAATTTATAGTGAATAAAATATTAAAATGCTTTCAAGTCACAACTAGAGGACATGGAATTGAAGACAATTTCAAGTACTTTTTGATTCTCTTTTCAATTTCGGTATCTTTTTGTATTTCTTTCAAACTCTTGTAATTATTTTGAGAGCATAATACGGGTCCCATATTTTTTTTAAATTACATGCCTAGTCCCAGTGTTTTATATATTATAACGCTTCAAGTCGTTTTGAAATAATTACGAATTTGAGCCATGTCGTATTCGTTTTGTAACATCTATGGTTCTTTGTCATGTCTTCGTTGAAAATATGTTGTTGAATAGGTAAACTTTGGAGGCATTTTAGTCATTTTCTGTTAAAAAATAAAAAAAAATATTAATGGATCAGTTATAATCATGACACATGTATACTATTCTTCGCTCGCTATCTATTATTTATTTAACTTTCCTACTTTCTTCTCCCCCCATCTGGACCTTTGCCTTCCCTCCCCCCTTGTCTGCTTATATTTTCTATTATGTTTTTGGATACCCTAGGCGGAGAATCAAAGAAAGCCCCTAATCCAAGAGTTTTTAAGGGGGGGTGGGATGAACCAAAACCCCGAACAACAAAACAAAGATTAGATCACCTAAAACGATTTCTTTGTGCGTTTGGTGAAGTAAAGTAGCTGAAATACTTTGTTTCTAGATTTGGTTAGATTTAAAGTTTTTCATATTTCTGCTTGCTTATCGGTATTTTCTTGTTATATGTTTGACCAAGCACTTTTGTGGTTTGTACTTGGACGAACCATTCTTGGTGGGCCGTTTTTTTCTTCTCTCATGTTATGCATGTATTGAGTTGTTACCTGTGTTCAGGTTCTTTTCCTTGGCCCTTTTTATGCTTTCAATATATTCAACTTTAACTTTTCGTTAAAGACGTTTGGTTGTTCTCCCTCTTACAAGTTGTTTCTCTTCCCTTCTATTTTTTTTTATTATAGTTGTGGCTGTATTCTGTGAGGAGGTGTTTCTTTCTGCATTAATTTTCTATTTCCTTTTTTTGCTTCCTGTTGGAGCTGGACAATTAGCTTGACCTAGCACCTCGAGTGTTTCAGGAATCCTGCTTTTATCTGTTAAGTTTTCGTTTATATATGCTTATGCCTAGTTCTGATAGGTCAATAGAATCCAAGGTTACTAGTTTGGATTTTGGAGATCCATTATATCTTCACCCAAGTGACACCAATGGAACCCTCTTGTTAACTGTGAAACTAAGTGGAACTGATAATTACAAGGTTTGGGCTTGTGCTATGGTGTTGGCCTAGAAACTAAAAATAAGGTTGAATTTGTTGATGGTTCCTGTCCTAGACCTATAGATGACCCTGTCTTATAAAGACAATGGGATCGTTGTAACTCTGTTGTCCTTTCTTGGATACTGAGTTCTGTGACAGAGGACCTATATCTAGGTCAAGTGTTTTTCAAAGAGGCCTCTAAGGTCTGGGAGGAGTTAAAAGAAACATATGATAAGGTAGATGGTTCTGTCATGTTTAACTTGTATCAAAAAATTAACTCTCTAAGTCAATATGGTACTTCTTTGTCTGAGTATTATCATAAACTCAATTCTTTATGGAAGAAATTTGATGCTCTTTTCAAACTCCCATCTTGCACTTGTAATGCTTTACAAGAATTTTTTGAACACACTAAATTGATTAAGCTCTTGCAATTTTTAATAGGACTTGATGATTCATATCAACCTATCAGAAGTAATATCCTGACTAGTAATCCCCTTCCTTCTGTTAAAACTATTTTCTCTCTTGTATCAAGAGAAGAATCTCATAAAGGGGGTAATATGTCTCTATCTAGGTCCAGACCTCAAAATGCTGCCTTCCTTAGTAAGACCAATGAAAGTAAGTGTCGTTTCGGTAGAGCTTCCTCCTTAACCTGTAAGCATTGTGGTGCTACTGGACATACTATAGAAAGGTGTTTTAAACTCATAGGATTTCCTAACAATTTTCAAAATAGGTCCAGACCTCCAAATCAAACCCAAAGAAATACTGGAAACAATGTTTGTGTTTCTGAGTCCAATCCTAATAAAACAGTTACTTCCAGCTCCTCCCTTCCCTTCTCCGAAGATCAGATTGCTATGATCCTTGGATTAATTGAACAAAATCACACTTCTAAAGGAGCTTCTACTAATATGGCAGGTAACTTCAAATCCCTCAATTCTGGATAGATTATTGATTCTGGGGTAAATCAACACATGACACGTAACACTGCTTTTCTTAACAATGTTGTTGATATTTCTAAACTTGACCTTAGGGTCAGTCATCCTAATGGAACCAAGGACAAAATTAATAAAGTTGGAAATTTTCAGTTATCTAATCATGTAACTTTGTTTGATGTATTGGTTGTCCTAGATTTCAATGTTAATTTGTTGTCTGTTAAAAAACTTGATAGGGATAATAAGGTCTTTGCAGGGTTTGATGAGTCTAAATGTTATGTCCAGGATTCGCTACGAAAAATGTAGTGGAGACTAGTAGTCAAGAAGAAGGTCTATATTAATTTGATCAAAATTTTAATAGTGAGTCCACTTGTAATCCTCATGTTTCTCAAGTTTTTAATGTGTCATGCCTGGCTTCTGCCCAGTTGTGGCACAGTCGTATTGGTCACCCAGCTGATCAAGTTTTAAAAGTCTTGAAAAGTTATCTTAAATTGAAAATGAAAGTCGTGTTCCGTGTAAAATTTGTCACAAGGCCAAATAGACTCATGAGAAGTTTGAGTCTAGTGTGCACACATCTAGAAATCTGTGTGATCTTGTGCATCTGGATGTTTGGGGACCCTATCGGGTCCAAAGTAGGGTAGGATATAAATTTTTCCTTACTATAGTTGGTGACTTTACACGAGTTGTATGGGTTTTTATGTTAAGAGGAAAAAATGTGATTGCAGAAAATATTATTACCTTTTATAATTTATTTAGCAATCAATTTAGTAAGAATGTTAAAATCTTTCGAAGTGACAACGAGTCTGAATTTTTGAGTCAAGACTTGAGTGAGTTTTTTTAAAACCAAAGGTGTTATACACCAAACTTCCTGTATTTACACTCCCCAACAAAATGGGGTTGTTGAGAGAAAACATCGTCATTTACTAAATGTCGCAAGGGCTCTTATGTTTCAGGGAGGGGTTCCCTTAAACATATGGAGTGAATGTATTATGACCACCACCTACTTGATAAATAGTACTCCTTCTGTGTTAAACGGTAAGTGTCCCTATGAGCTTATTTATGATTTCCAACCCGTCTTTACATAGTTTAGAAACTTTGGGTGCCTTTGCTTTGTTGTCATACCTAATATTACGAATTTTTTTTCCTAAATCTGAAAAATGTATTTTATTGGGATATGCAAGTTCAAAGAAAGGTTACAAACTTTATAGTCTGGACACTAATACATATGTTATTTCTTGTGATATCAAATTTTACGAAAATATATTTCCCTTTAAGAATACTAAGAACAGGGTTGATAATACCAGTAATGATGATAACAAATTAAGTTTCTTTGATTTTACTAATACTTCATCTAATGACCTTGTGGATTCATTACCCAATGATGATAATAGGGACAACTCCATGAGTGAACACAATCATCAATCTGATTACGTCCCTAACAATAATAATAGGTTACTTAGTAGCCAAAATAGAGCTCAATGAGTTGCCTCTAGGCAGCTCAAATGATTCTAATAATCAAGATTCCTCAACTCAAGTTGAAGATAGTCTTGATAGCGTTACCGGATGGAAACTCCTGAGTAGCT